TCACTGAAAGAAGACTGTGGTGGGTAGTTTTTAAAAAAGGGGAGGGGTTTAGCACTTAGTGTATGTGCCGTGGGATATGGTCTTGTTCGATGAGCTTGATCTGATAAGAGTCTCAACAACTCCTAATTGATCGATGTAGAAAGGGCATAGTATTCGAGATGTAGTTGAAAGGAAGTGAAGTTACGAATGTTTGGAGTAGATATATTACTAGAACGGTGTATAGTTAAAGTAAAAAGTTATAGTTCTCTTCCTGGAAAATCTGGGTCAGCCATAATTTAATGATCTTGTAGTTTTAGTATGTGTAAAGAAATGTAAATTGTAAATGCATGGATTGTGTATCGTAAATATAACGGTGTGTGGTGCAGGTAGAATAAAAAGGTAGGGCTCTATTTCTGTAGTATCTGGGCTAGCTGTAGTTGTAGTTTTGTTTAGTATATGGTTTGTTGGTGACAGGTCAAGTTGTGATTTAATTGGTCTTATATCAATTAGTCCTGCTTCTACATATCGACTCGGTCAATCAATGCATCCGCATGTATTGTGCGCATGCGCTATATTGTTGTTTCTCGCGGCTGTCGGCATGACGGCTTCTGATGTGGGTTGCCTCATAATGTAAGAGCGTGGTGCGTTGACAGTTGGGATGCGTATGCTCAGATGAGATTGCGCCATGCGCACGAAAGGAATGGAATAATGGGCGCAGTGGTTGATTGGACTGTTCTTATGTGCATTGAGAGGAATCTCCGTGTATTGCTTTTGAGGTAGATCCTGGGTAACATCCGATTTGTAGAAGAGGTGTAAGACCGGAAACTCAAGTTTATAGTATCAGAAGAAGGTAGTAATTAGGGGAATTGCCCATTGAACTCACGCGTACTGGTGGGTGAGGCTATCTTTTGTTTTCGTTTTGTTTGTGTTGTTTATTTTTTTTTCTTCTTTTTGTCAGAAAATAATAGTGTACTGTTCAGAATTAGTAGGGCCCTGTGTTGTAATATTCGTTTGTCAATGTCTCGCGTGTGTAACATGTACCTGTTACGAATTTGTGATGGTCAGAGCAAAGTCTGACAATGTCGTACCATACGTAACATATGTAAGGGATTACACTTTGTCGATCGATCGGATAGAGAGAAAGGCTGCGTAATTTCTCAGCCTATACTGGAGCCAATTTGGAGCTATCTCAACTTTGTGGATCCACTACTTCATTGCGGCCACTTAGCGTGTGCGCACATTCACAATTGATATGTTAGATTCCGAAGTTTCTTGTCAGAAAGGGCGAGCAATCAGCTCTTCCCTCAGTATATTGGTTATTCTGGCAGCACTATTGTAGTAGCTGCTATGAATACTCATACGAATGAGTATTATGGCTCCATGTAAAACAAGAATGCAAGCTTGCCGCATTTTCATCATCGTTCAACAAATAACCATAAAAAGGTTTCGTATGTGGCCGTTTCATAACTCCATGATCCGAAACACCGATCATATACCTTTGAATTAAAACCTTACACCACCAAACAAATCAACAACGTCTCAATTGAAGTCACCTAATTCTCATTGCCAATCTCATTACAATCAATGATTTTTCACTAATAACAAGTTAACAGCCTATATCCCACAAGACACGGAATTCAGCTATGCATGCAGTTGCTGCATAAATACAGCAGAGAGGAGCGAGAGCGGGGTCGACACTTAGTCTTCCGCGATCGGCGGCTCTTCTTAGACTCTCTCTCTCTCTCTCTCTCTCTCTCTCTCCTCTCTCTCTCCGCAACAATAACGAATACAATACGAGGTACAATACATATGTAATATAATAGAGAATACTTATATGAATACACTACTTTTAGCTAACCTTAATAGGATGAGGACATGCTACGGGCCGGCGGACCCCCGGCGGATGCTGATGCCTTATACTACTGTGAAAACTACGAGGAAGACAAGACAAACTACGCGAGGACAACCTGTACGCAGCTAGGGCGCAACTACCCTGTCATGGTTCATTAATATAAGTGCTGTAACTGTCATGGTTCATTGTAGATATAAGTGCTGTAATTGTAATGTCTTATTATTCATGTAGATAAAGATTAAAGATTAAAGTGTGCGCGGCAAGCTACCACTCCGAACCATCTATACGACGGATACGGCAGGACCTTGTCGAGCTTCCCTCGGCCCAATCAAATATGGTGTGGTGTCTCAGGCGGAAGGGTGGCACCTGTTGTGCTATTCGAGAGAGAATTAGTCTCCCTCTTAAATCGGAAGAGTGTGGACAAATGATTTATCCTTAAAGCACGAGGAAATGTCATCGGTCATGCTCGTCGTCCAATACCGAACTGTCCTACTCGCCTCCCCCCCTAGGAGCGGGTGTGGTGGCGGGTTCTAGCTCGAAAGGCCAGAACGCTCCCGCCAGCCGCAATCAAAATGAGCAAAAATTACAAACGATATACAACAATTGATCTACTACCGACGTCTTTGTTGTTCCGGGCTGCGTCAAGGGCCTCGTCGCTTGAAACCTTGCTAGTCGCGGTTGGCGGACAATGATTTATCCTTAACGCAAGAGGAAATGTCGTGCTGTCACTGGTCGTGCTCGTCCACCGATACCGAGCTGTCCTAGTGTCGAAATCAAGCGGCCAAAGAAAAGAAATGTGAACAAACTGGCATGTACACGTGACAGCAAAAAGAGATCTGATAGAGCGATAGACTTCTGACTAGCTGAAAATAAACCCTCATAATGTCCTGCAGTAGTTTTGCGAGTTGGACTTTGGTTCCTTGACTTCTTCTTCTTCTTAACGTTGTCCCGCTGGAGCGGGGTCCGTGTTCCGGATCGATGATCGCCACTTTGCTCGGTCTAGTGCATCCTCTTTGTTCAGGTTGTGGCCGCCCTTCCTCTTCTTCCTTCTAACAAGGGAATCCGATCAAGCTATTTATTCTCGTAGTAGTAGGCAAAGCAGTTAAGCGGCGATTGGCAGAGCTCTCGCCGGCCAGACTCACCACTTCGGGGCGCTGCAGGTCAGCTGACTGCCAGCGGCTTGCCGCTTTACAAAAGTGGAGCCCCTCCCACTGAGCGCTCTGCATTAGATTACGGTAAAGAGCGTTGCGGTTGCAGGTGCACACCGCAACACAGGTCGGCAGTTTCATGTCCGCGTTGACTGTTTCCTGCCAACGTTGTTTGGGTCTTCCTCTGAGCCGATGGCCATCCACTTTGAAATGATACGCGTAGCAGCGACGGTATGGGGCGCGGCGCGCACGACGTGTCCATACCACTGAAGCCGTCGTTCTCGCATCTTCTCTGCAATTGACACCTACGCCCATCTGCCGGCGGACGACATCGTTCACAAATGCGATGAAGGCGTGTGATACCATTGTAAATCGAGAAAGAAAAGAAAATTAGAACGCTTCGGTAATGCAGGAGCGATAAGAAACCCCCAGAATTAAGACATAGAACGGGCATTGCTGGTGTCCAATAGATAGGCAAGAAAAGAGGACAACCTCCTTTACAATCGTTGCGACGAACACGAGGTTCGTTGAACGGTAAACATTGTAAAGAACGAGATTGATTGCTTAGACACTAATATCGAACCTTACCACACGACTTCGGTAAGTAACATATGGGTTGAATACACATATTCATGTGGAGGATCTGCTAGCATCCATCTGCAATCTGCCATTCAATCGAAAGACGAGGAAACGATGGTACCGTGACGACGGGTTGTTCGACAATAAGACCTCCCATGCGTTTTTCAAGCCACGGACGATTATGGAAGCAATATTTGTCCAAATCGCAAGCGGCAGTGCAATGAGAGTCACCGGTCAGTGATAGTGAACACATCTTCCGAACATCAGTGGCAGAAACTAGATCACTGACCGAACTAGATCGATGTTGTATCGGCAGCTGTACAGTTTTTTAATTACAGTGTGGTAATGAGAAAACCGACGCGAGCATGAAACGTGCGAACAACGGCCTTGTGGGACGTTGGTTCTTTGACATTGTGTGCAATTGCACGCATTGTTTCCGAGTTTTTGTCATCCGGCCTCGGTTTTCTCACCAGGTTTCCTTCGAGGACAAAAGTTTCATTTGATTCTTTAGTTTTTACTTTTCAAGATTCGAGACACTTAGACCTTTTGAACACACTAATGGGTCTTTAGTAACCTTGAAACGCTGTTTCAGTGAGGTTTTCTACTTATTTGTATTGCTTATTCGGAATGCCAAATGTCAATGTGAAATGGGGTAAAGAAAAGTACGAAGTTCTGCTCGATTTGGATGAACCACCGCTCGTTTTCAAATCACAACTTTTCGCTCTAACCGGTGTTCCACCAGATCGTCAAAAAGTTGTCGTTAAGGTTTGTTTATTTACGAAATTTGGATGGACTTTACCCACCCAGAATGCCGGCGTTTTCCAGAATTATTTGGTCTCTGTGAAGGTCCAGAGGTATTTTTCTCATCGCAGCATTGGCTGAGTATTCGAAGAAAGGAAAATAAGGAAGAGGGAAGAGAGAAGGAAGGAAGAAGAGGGAGGAAGAAATAGGGGGAGAGAGGCTTCGTGGTTGACTGGTTCCCTAAGACGAGGGCCTTTCTGGTGACTAACGCACTGATCCTGTGAGGTGATGCATTTTGGTGTATAGGTGGTGTGCACCATGGGATGGCATATTGGCATATTTGTCCACCCTAAGGAAGGAGGAAGAACGTAGGAGGAAGGAAGGCGCTAAGGGGTAGGTGAACCTAATCTTTTGTGAAAAAGAGGTTTCCCTATCATGGTAATCTCAGTGTTAAACGCGGACTTTTCGGAATACCTCATCTTCCTGGAATCGCGATTCGCCGCTCGTTGCGCAAAATATAACGGTGTCGTATTCAGCCGCATTTGAGGGGAAGGGTCGTATTCTTTTGTGAGTACATTTCATTCTGGTATATTTCTCTCACTTCATGCGCACTGACAGTTGATCGCACAACATTATAAGTTCAGGAAGAAGGCAGCATACAGTACCCCTGAAAATAGCGCGTTAAATTGAATCTGCTCCGTGAGTGCACACAATTGGATATACCGTCCCTTAATTGTAGTAGTTTCTCAGAAATTTCTGTGACCATTCGTTATAGGGCAAGACTCTTGGTGATGAATCATGGACAGGAATTGCAGTTTCGGAAGGTGCAATGATAATGATGATGGGAAGGTGAGATTGTCTACAAAACGGTTAGATTTCAAAGTGCTCAGTAAATGCTTATCTACAGCGCTGATGCAGTTCCTGCACCACCGAAACCAGAGGATGAAAGAAAGGAAGCTGCAGCGAATGACGAAAAGATCGTCAAGTTACCGCACGGGTTGAAAAATCTTGGCAATACTTGCTACATGAACTCGGTTCTACAGAGCTTCAAGGTGAGAATTCTAAGAAATTCACTTTTCTAAGTTTCCACAATTTGCTTTGACTGTCCATAGTATTCTAGGCTGATTGTTGGGGCGTGTTCTTACCTCAGGAGCCGTTCTCTCAAGCGACCCGATAACGCCATCGGGTTGCGAAGTATTAAGGCGCTCTTAGGTTCTGGGAATATTCCAACGAAAGGTGTCTACATAAGATTCTTAGGGGGTAGCTCCAGACCTTGTTTATTTATGGGTGCTGTTTCCGTAGAAGGGGCATTATAATGGAAACTTTCGGCGGATTATGTGGTCTCGTTCCCCACAAGAAGTTTCCTGACGTCGCGAAATGTAACGGGTTCCAGTTCTACTCCCATTCTTCGATTTTTCATGATGGGTGATAGGAAACGACTGTGAGCCAGAATATGGGAACGCGGGTTCTTGGCTTTCCTGGATTCGCCCTATTGGCGCACTTCCTGTTCACAAAGTTCGTTAGAGACCAGAGTCGATCGATTCCCAACCCCTTTTTTGGCATGCATTTTCTGCTGACCCATAGGAAAAAGTGTAGTTCGCTGCGGATGGTTGGGCGTGTCAGGCGGGATGAGTTTGGCGCGGTGCCAAACCCGTTCTCCACCAGTTGTTAAAGCGAGCAAATGATATGACTGTATCATATCGTTCGTATTACTCGTTTTCTACCACTTTTTGTCGCATGCGCTTCAACAAGAAGGCAGAGAACGGCTTTGACAGGAGGACACACTCATGCTGTCTGACACGCCCAATTGTCCTCAGCTAACTCGAGTATATCTTGCAGTACGAAAGCTGGTGCGCCGCTGGTTCATTTTCTCAAGTTTGACATGCTGCTTTGGCTTTTTCCACGCTTTCAGCACTGCCCGCGTGATGTACACTTTATATCCCTTGATGAGAGGAGTCGTAGTTTCGGACTCAGTTTCGCACCGTGACGGCAGTTTCCAGAATTCTGCCTTAGATCCTGTATTACTCGCAGTTATATTTTTAGCAGCTGTGTGATATGAGGTTACAAATGCAAACAGCGACTATTTTCGCCTTTGAACTGCCAGTTTTTGAGGTCATTGCCAGGCGCACCTCCAATAACACAATTGCGACCCATCAATTTTCATGGATGTAAACGTACGTGTCACCACATTTACTTCATCGCTCGGAGTGCGCGGGCCGTCCTATGGGGGAGGGGTCCCACGGCCTGGGTAACAGTAGTACGGTTCGCGGACTGTGAAATATCTTGTCGCCGATTCTCCTGTTCTCCCTATTCGTCGGATCGATGTTCACGCTTTCTCCTATCACACAGTTCACCAGATCCGTACTTCCCAGCGGCACGTTTTCTTATTCTCCTGTTCTCCGGATCTAACAATTCCCAGAGTGCTGGTACTGTTTCAGACCATTCCGGAAATCAAAGATGGTCTCCAGTTTCTGAAACAGGGCGGCTCGGAAACGGATGCGAACAAGAAAATGGCGATGGCCGTCAAGAGCGTTTACGAAATGCTCGATAATCCTCGTCGAACCGATGAACCTCTTGTACCCTTTTTCATGCTCCAGGTGAGTTCCCATGCTTCGGTATTCTCACTAAAATTCGTGTTTCTCTTTGAGGCTACTGTAATTGAAGTAGCGGAAAGCGGAGGCGTGATCGAGTCCACTCGTCCGCATAGTCTCACCGCATAGATCCCTTTCCCGTGTTTATATCCTTACTTTCAAGCT